CGAGGCCAAGCCTGCCCCCGTTGAGGCTGCTAAGCCAGCTGTCGAGGCCAAACCTGCCCCCGTTGAGGCTGCTAAACCAGCTGTCGAGGCCAAACCCCTCCCTGTTAAGGCTGCTAAGCCAGCTGTCGAGGCCAAGCCTGCCCCTGTTGAGGCTGCTAAACCAACTGTTGAGGCCAAGCCTGCCCCCGTTAAGGCTGCTAAGCCAGCTGTTGAGGCCAAGTCTGCCCCTGTTGAGGCTGCTAAGCCAGCTGTTGAGGCCAAGCCTGCCCCCGTTGAGGCTGCTAAGCCAGCTGTCGAGGCCAAGCCTGCCCCTGTTGAGGTTGTCAAGCCAGCTGTNAAGCCAGCTGTTGAGGCCAAGCCTGCCCCCGTTGAGGCTGCTAAGCCAGCTGTCGAGGCCAAGCCTGCCCCTGTTGAGGTTGTCAAGCCAGCTGTTGAGGCCAAGCCTGCCCCCGTTGAGGTTGTCAAGCCAGTTGCAGAACCTAAACCCGCTTCCGCTGAGGTCACCAAGCCGGCTCCTGTTAAGGATGCCACACTAGTAACTGAGGCCAAATTGGTTGAGGTCAAGGCTGCACCTGAAGAGGTTGCCAAGCCTGCAGCTGAAACTTCATCCGCTCCCTTAAAACCAGCTCAAGCTGAGCCTGCTGTTCCTGCCCCAGCTCCTCGTAAACTCACATTTGCAGAGGCAGTTGCAAAACCTGCCCCTGTTATACCTGAGGTTAAGGTAATAAATACAACTTCTGTACCCATCTCATCACCCAAACCTGCCCCCACACCTGCTAAAACACCAGCCAAGTTGGAGCCTGAGATCAAGGATGACAAGGGTATTTTCTTTTTCCTCTCCTTTTCTGTGCATCTATTTTTCCAACTGTTACTGCCACCTGGCATCTGCTGCGATGTTTACATATGCCGTTCTCCAAGGTCACGGAAAATAAAGTAGATTTTGGTCTTTTAAAAATTTTAAACAATAAGGTGCTACCCAGCTGTCAAAATGGATGCTCCTTGTTTCAGAAACATGTAAATTCTGTTGTTTTATAGTGTTTTGTGCAATATTAATTTTGATCATCTGATGTCGAATGTCAGTTTTTAATTACTTAAAATGTTTTGATGGTCAGTTTAATATGGTTTTAGATTGAAGGGAATTGTTCTCAGTTGTTCTCACCCAGTGTACAGTTGATTGAATTTGAGGCAGCATTAAGGTTTTGGCAATTCAAATATGTTGGTATATTTATTTACCTGGAATAATTGCAGCTTATTTGCAGAAACACTTTCAGGTCTACAACCATGTTAAAGGTGCCATGTTGTGACTTAAGGTTTCCTGTTGGTTTCTGTAGGATCTGGCACTGAGTCAGACAGCGATGACTCAGTCCCTGAGCTGGAGGAACAGGACTCTGCACAGACACAGACACAGCAGGCTCAGGTAAGTGTTCAGCTGCTTTTTAATATTTTGCTTCCTTGAGTCCAAACATACTACACTTACGACATCAACTCATGTTAAACGTTTAATGTGGATGTTGTGGGCTTTTGACTCTTCTGTGATTATTTATACAGTGACTTTCGTTCTTCTGAGCATACTGAAGCCAACTTTCTGTCCTGAGAAGAGAAAAAAAATGAATGAGTGACAACCACCAGAATTCCTAATAGTTTATTTACTTGTTGACATTCAATGTGGATGTACGTTCTCTTAAAGCTTGCAGCAGCTGCTGAACTCGATGAGGAACCTGTCAGCAAAGCCAAACAGAGCCGCAGTGAAAAGAAGGCACGGAAGGTACTGGTCTTAACTTTTTTTAAATTATTATTTAAGTCAACAAATCTTGATTTCTTTGTAATGGTCCAAAATGGACACATATTAATATTTGTATTTCTTCCAGGCAATGTCAAAGCTTGGTCTCAGGCAGGTAACAGGGGTCACCAGAGTCACAATTCGCAAATCAAAGAACATCTTGTTTGTCATCACCAAACCAGACGTCTACAAGAGCCCTGCATCAGACACATACATCGTCTTCGGTGAAGCTAAGGTATGTAGCTGAAATGACACAACCCTCATATGTGTTTTTTTACAGCTTATGGTGTCAACTGTACTTACTGTTTACTTTTTATAAGATCGCAGAAAGAAAAGACTCACTGAGCATTTCAGTCAAGGTGTATGAGTGCAGAACCTCAGCTAAAATCATGTATTGATGTTTCATTTTGCTATCTCCCTCACGCTACAGATTGAAGATCTTTCCCAGCAAGCCCAGCTGGCTGCCGCAGAAAAATTCAAGGTACAGGGAGAAGCTGTATCAAACATCCAGGAAAACACACAGACGCCAACAGTACAGGAGGAAAGCGAAGAAGAGGAGGTTAGATGCATTTTTATTCAAGTAATACAATTTATTTATATAAATCCTTTAAGGATATGAGGAGTTAAAACAATTTTCTGCTCATTTCACAGGTTGATGAGACCGGAGTTGAGGTTAAAGACATTGAACTCGTCATGTCACAAGCCAACGTGTCGCGGGCGAAGGCTGTACGGGCCCTGAAAAACAACAATAATGACATTGTCAATGCTATTATGGTAAGTCTTACACAAACTTTTCTAGTGTTGGTTTGGAATAATTATATTCATCAAGCCATCTTAAATTGTTTACTCATATCTGTGTATAAAGAACTCTTCAGTGATGATTGATACAGTGACTTTCGTTCTTCTGAGTTCACTGAAGCTAACATTTTCTGTCCTGAGAAGAGAGAAACTTTCCTAACTGGAGAATAAAATCTTTGAAACATTTTCTAACAAACTTTTCTTGTTCCCTCTGCAGGAGTTGACAATGTAATGGGACCTTGTCAACGAAGAGTTGAAGAAATGTTGCTGATTTAATCTAAGCTCGTTTATACAATTTATACCCAAGATGGAAATAAAGTTGTGGCTTGATAAAATGAAATTTTTGTGTCTGCTGTTCATTGGTGAATTGGGGTGGAGTGGGGTGTGGCTTATTGCTGTTTTTGCTATTAATTTCTTATTTTGATGTTCCCTTTCATTTTCTATACTCATGCATTCCTTATTTAGAGGTAATGGGGACCTCTGCTTTTTTAGGTTAGGGAGGTTAGGCTTATCTTTCCCACTTTTTGCCTTCCTTTTTAGTCTAAAGAGAGAAAACATGGAGGTGTATGACGTACAACGAAGTGCCCCCAACCGGAGGCACTCCACTTTTAGCCTAACATGATCATTAACAGGCTTGTAAGGCAGAGGTGAATAAACACGTTTTATCCAGAGTTGATCAGTTAGTAAAATATCAATTATATACTTGTGGAACCGTAAGTGATGTCAAACCCAATAGACGGCAGTCAGATCAGCTTGCGACGCCTCAATGTTCAAAACATGTAGATTGGTTTTGGTGAACAATGCAGTGCCAATACAATCAAGATTTCAAAGCTCTCAAGATAATAAATAAGACTTAAAAGACAAATGCGTACATTTATTTTAATGTCTTTAACATTTTTTCTATTTTAATATTGAATAACTTAACCTATATTTTCTGTTTGATACTCATTTGATTTGAATTGACATTCAGCTTTTGTCACAGAGTAGCACTTCAAATGACTGACGTGTAAAATTGGCTGGTAAAAGTTTCTATAAAGATGATTGTCAACAAACCCGTCCTACAGTTGATTTTAAATAGACATGGAGCACCTCCTCAAATGTTTTGTGACTGTGGTTACAGCTGCTCCCATCTTCAACCCAGCCACACCCCAGAAGACCTGTCCTCTGGAGATGGCACAGTCACGTCAGCCTGGACGTCACAGATGAATGTTGAGAGAAGAGTCAAGCTAAAAAATGCACTTTCATTTGTATCAAAGAATTTGACTAAATGAAAAAATATTTTTGCTATATTTTTCCTAT